GATAGATAGATAGATAGATAGATAGATAGATAGATAGATAGATAGATGATAGAAAAGAGAGACTGCAAAATGTTTTCAGATTTAACTAAATTATGGTGTTAGCATCTTCAAGTGACTAAATAGTATTCAATTTTTTTTTTTAAAAATGAATACAGTAGGAAAAATAGAGTAATTGCCATTTGTAACCCCCTGAAATGCCACAAGGTTGCACTCATGTACCATATCAGTTTCATAGCACTTACATGCAGCAAAAGCTTACAATATATGTGGCTTAGTTTGAAAAAAATAAATTAGATTCTTTCCTTGAATAACCTGGAAAGGAGATGGAGGAAATGGTGATGTTGGGAAATACATTTTTTTTTCTTCTGAAAAAGAATCTGCCTGAGTATTTTTTTAAAGATGGGGATTTATTTTTTCTACCATAGATATTATTACATCATTCATCCAAAATGGTGATGAATTCAGGCTACATTGAAGTTATGATAAGAAAGAAAGAATTCCATATCTGTTAATCGTGTACTTTGGAGACTGTAATCCTATAACCCTACATAAGATTGACACGTGATCAATCTTTTAGCAAACCCTAGTTTCAAAGGAAGTATTTTAAGTGATTTTGTTTTAGGTAGATATTGGCTGCATTTGCACTTAAGAAGAAATTAAACTTATTGAGCCCATCATTTTCAGACTGGTATTCTGTTGGTTGCAGTCATCACTCACGATCAGGCCACATGTAACTGTTCTGATCATGGTCTCGTACTCAGTTTAAAATACTTTAACATTGCATTGCACATTTAATGTGCAAAGCAGCAGAAAAAGAAGCCATTGGTAACTTTTCTTCCAGAATATTGAGAGAATATTGGGCCCCAGGAAACAGGTCACCATTGGATACTGTTATATGCAAGGTGATGGATAAATCCCTCCCTACATGCTTAAATGTTCAAACCTGCAATTGTTCTGCACAAGCATTCCCTTAATTTTCAACTCAGCCACAAGGCTTAAATTGGCAATTGTGTGCCAGTAGTATACTTTCTGGGCAGCAGCAGGTGCTGCAACCAACAATCCTAACAATTCAACTCAACCCTTAGCATTCTGAATATGGTCATTAGGCTGACCAATACAGAACCCTTTTTTAAAAAAAAAATTACTAGTTTTCTTTCTCTGTCTTAGGGCAGGCTTATGTCACAATAATAGAAACCACAGAACCTTCTTCCTGTTGTTAGAAAGTTCAGCCATTCTGTAAAGTTGCTTTTCCTTGATTAGTGGCCATTTCATGATTTAACTACTTGTGCATGTGTAAAATTAGGTCTAATTTCAAATAGGGGACTGCGACCAGAAAAGGACATGCAAAATGCAAGCATAATGGTGTGAGCTGGGTGACCAATTGTGTGCATTTTTATAGGGATTCCCTGCAGGAAAAAGGGCAATATTGAAGTGCTAGGCTTTGTTTAGATGGACTGTTGACTTGCTTCTATTTCATCCAGCTAATAAATATACTAAAGATATATATACGCATGCAAATTTGGAAAGGTTTCAAATTTGAGAAGAACTGTCAAGATGCCTGTCATAGATACTGAGATTTAAGAGTCGTGGTGGTGTTAAAATGCAGTATTGCAGGCTAATTCTGCTGACTACCAGGAGTTCGAGTCTCACTGGCTCAAAGGTTGACTCAGTCTCCCATCCCTCCAAGGTTGGTAAAATGAGGTCCCAGATTGTTGGGGGAAATATGCTGACTCTTTAAACCACTTAGAGAGAGTTGTAAAAAGCACTGTAAAGCAGTATATAAGTCTATTGCTATTGCTATATCTAAGTAGTTTTCAGAGCAACAAATACAAACCTTGGCATGTATTTGTTGTCTCAAAGTCATTTTACTGATAAGTAGCAGCTATAAAAAAAATCTAGAAAACCTGCAGAAAACCTGCCATTGCTTATCTATGGACTGTTGTTGTTGTTTACTTCAAAATCTAATTTATACTACTTGACTTTCCTCACGATCTTCTATCCAAGGACAATTCAGGTCTGGTTTGGCTTAGCTTTTTGAGATCAATCACATATGGCTAAGTGAGACTGAAAAAATATCTACATTTTCACAAAAAAAAACAGAAGCAAAGCTTATATGTCTGTGTTTTGTATTTGTTTTCATTTACAGTTAGGTTTATGCTCCATAAAACATTGAGGAAAGGTGGACACATAACATTTTGCCCAATGAATTTATTTGCTCATAAAAACCAATTCAAACACAACTTCGCAGACATGATAAATGGATTTTTTTCATAAACTTGAAAATATTATGGCTGCAACTGTGTCCTTTGAGTAGATCATGAGAAGGCTACATAGAATACAAACACCAACCTTCTTTTATTTATTTCTTCTGTGACTAAAAACCATCCATCAGCAGGAGCAATTAAAGCATTGACAAGCTGTTGCAAAATAGTGCATTTTGTATAATTCTTCCCCTGGTGGTTTTTTTTCCAACCTGAAGTGTTCTGCTTCTCTCTCAACCAAATTTTAAATGGCCCAAGTCTTCTTGTGTACATATCCTACATTCAGAAAACTGACAAAACACGTTTTCTAAAATATTATTCTTATTGCAAAGTTGGCTGATTTTACAAAAGATCATCTCAATTCTCATCCATCAAAGAAATATTCTTCTTAGATTTGTAACAATAGTGGTATCATGATGTGATCATTAGAGGAGATTTTTCCTATCTTCATGAAATTTCAAAAAGGGAGGTCATGCTCTGGACAACAGACTCTGTGTTCCAGGGCCAGATTAATATCAATTGATGTTCTAAACCTGATAATAATAATAATAATACTCTAATAATACTTCTCCTCAATTTTTCCATTGATTAATTGACAAGACATAAGACCAGTAGTGGGATTCAATTATTTTTACTACTGGTTCTGTGGGCATGGCTTGGTAGGCATGTCAGGGGAAGGGTACCGTAAAATCTCCAGTCAGAGGTGGTATTTGCCGGTTCTCCGAACTACTCAAAATTTCTGCTACCGGTTCTCCAGAACTGGTCAGAACCTGCTGAATACTGCCTCTGATTAAGACTTAGTAAGTGTTGAAAACTAAAGCTGAGTGTGGCAGTGAAAGAATTAAAGACATGATCACTAGGGGAAAAAACCTCTATGCCCCCCTTCCTTGGTACCCTGAGCATATGCTTATTTTTCTTGTTGGTTGTTGGTTAATCCAGGGCTGCTCATAGAAAGTACCAGTACCTACAGAAGCAAAACCTGAAGATGTAGCAGTTTAAACAGAATGACTGAAGAGATCAGTGATAAAAAGTTCCTCAGATAGTATTTCCAGTCAATACTTTTTATCCAACAAAAGATGACTGTGGGGTCATTTCTGATTCTGTGTTGTCTCCTTCAGTTGTAGACATAGTGTCTGGTGGCTGATAGATATCTTGAATCAAAATGGAGTTTGTATTCTTCCACTCTCTATACTTTCTTGCTGTTAGCTTATGATCCTCCAGCAGCTGGTTTATCATGGCCAAGTCATGTTCTTTGCACTAGTCAACACAAGAAGAAAAAACAAGTTACTAGAAGTAAACATTGGGAAAGATAAATGACCCAAGTCTTCTTGTGTGCATATATCCAACATTCAGAAAACTGAAAAAACAAAAACAAAAAAATGGTCTGTCAGCTTTGGAAGCCATATTAGCACCAGATGCTTCCACACTGTCACATTCTTGAGCCTGGGAAAATGAGAGGGGGGATTTCTTGAAGTGTATGTGGTTAGACATAATAGCATTCTTCTTCTAAGTCAAGGTCATGTTATTTCTGCACCTGGTTGAAAGGACATCTCAAGTTGGGACTGATGATGATTGGAGCATGCGATGGGTGCAGGGGGTGAATTTGTAATTTTTTACTTATTGCAAGGAAACCGGAACTTTCAGATTTAGGATTTCCCAGATGTGCCAGTTTACTACTCTAATAAAAAGAACCTTGGAGAGGATGTCTGGAGTGGAGGTTTTCTGGAACACTGACACCGTCTCTCAAATGTCAAGTCCCCTGATCTTTCCACTACTTGTTTTCAAAGAAAAACTATTTCCCATAATTACTAATAAGTTCCCTTGTTTTTTAAAAAGTAATCATTTCATAATAGATAAAAATATTTTTAACTGTTGTTAAATATCCTACTGGTCATAATAGTTATATTTGCATTATATAAATAATAGACTGCATTACAAAGTAACTAAATAACTGGGTTTTTACGAAAAGCTAAGCTATAATCATACATGCATGCACATATTCACTAACCAGAACTAAAATTAACTACTTGCAGTCCATCAGCTGAATGCAACCATTGCTCTTTTCACTAGTCTAATTAAGCTGTTCATGTGAATACACCCAAAGTCTCTCTCCCAAATCCAAAATAGCTAGAAAGAACATCTCTCCTTCATCAATCTTTACCTTTAAGGTGCTATTCAGAGCTCGGATTTTATGAAGTTTCTCATTTACAGAAGGGTTTTTGCTCCTTTTGATAAAGGACTTTCTCAACTCTTTCTTAGTAGAAGGTCGCCGGTCCCCAATGGGAGATAAACTTGCTTGCTCTAAAGACTTGTACAGCTTCTCCATTTCATCCACAGAACACTTGGTACGATCTGCATGGGAGACAAAAGAGAGGATTCAGTGATAGAATGCAGGTGAGCTAGTTTTTTTTAAGAAAACCATGTTTGGTGAATGGGAGAGGGCATCTTCTGGTGGTCTGGAGGAAACTAGGGGAGGGAAGCAATTTATGAACTATTTTGACATTCTCATCCAGGAGTTGCTCTGTGGAGATACTGTATGAAGAATACTAAAAACAAGACTCAAGATTTCAGGTGCAATAGCCAAAAATGTACACGTATCAGAAATGATGCATTAATGATGGATGTCTCTATTCTAGCAACTTATGATTGAAATGTCTGGACTTTTATAGGAAACATTTTCTCCACCTAGCACTCTATAACTGTGCATATGATTGTACCAGGTCTATTATTTTATTTTTAATAGCAATGTTATAATACAATGGTGCACCTCAAACATTTGTAATTAAATACTCCCTAATATGTCTGTTTCATATATTTTATAGAATTATGCAAGTATAAACATGCCATAATTGTCCTTGGATAAAGGCTAAATTTAGGTTACTACTTTAGCCCAATGCTGAAGAAAATGCCCGGACTCTAGCAGAACAGCCTGTTATAATAGCCAATATGACCTGGATGACTGAGAATCTCGAAAGACTAATAGCCAATATGCTATTTTACTGTTTCGTTCTGACTGATCACCTCACTAAATGTGACTCAGTTTGTTGTAGGAAAAATCCAATGTAAGCTATAGTTAATTAAGCAAGAGCCAGTCAGGCAAATTTTATCTCCACGGCTTGAATGAGAATAGGTAGAAAAAAATGTAGAATTTCTCTGCATGGTGTTAATTTCAACTTTTGCTAAACATCTACCTAAGCTTAGCAGTTAAAGAACTGAGGAGGTAGTCATCTTTGGAACCTATACGATCCACTGTCTTTACTTGAAGTATACTAAGGTTTTTTTAGGTCTTATTCTCTGACACAATCAATCATCTTAACTTTTTTCAAAGATCTCTAGAATCCTCCATAAGGGAGTGGATGACATTGATAAATTAAAGCCTTATTTCTAAACTGGAATTCTTATAAAGATCTCACCAAAATCTAGTAAAATCAAGGTGACTCTGCTCTCTGTACTTTGGAATGCCACCTAGACATTCAAGCTGCCAATTCCCCACTGACAATGTGCAAAAGTATTAAAATAACATTATTCCAACAAGCTTTTAGCCAGGATTAAGGGTTTCTAGTGTCTATGATTTCTAGACTTTGAGTGACTTTGGATCAATTTAATTTATTTCCACGTTTTCCTTTAGGCCTTCAGTAAGTACCCTTATCACTAGGAAAATGTTTTGGCCACAATTATTATTATTTTTTTCAAATGAAAAAAATATGGATGATATCCCACTTGGATAGAAGAGCTTAAATTCTAGATATATCAAAGCACTACTCCCACCCTTCTGCATTTCAAAGGTACCTAGAAGCTTCTGTCTATCTCGCTTGAATCCATTCATTTCTGAAAATCAAGTCTTAGAATTGTTTAAAGCCATTGTCTCCCAAGTATACCTTCTAATGAGGCAATAAAATACAGAGAAAAATTATTGAACATAAAATGCATTGGACCTGACTCGCCTATAACAATTGTCTGCAAATGTCTCTAAATATCTCAGAAAAGAGAGTGTTACTGCTATCATAGATGAACAATACAACGTAAGTAAGGCCCATTCTGTTGTAGCTGTGTTTCTATAATTTCTTCTTTGTTATTATTAGTTTTTATAGCCTCCTGTTAAAACCAAGCATATGCAACTCACATCAAATGAAAAGAAAAATGACAGCAACTAGCTGTTGCTTCTATCTGTTCTTTAGATTAGAAGTAAACCTCTGGATTAAAGATACATGTGCCAATCCTTGTGTATAGTTTTACAATCAAACATTGTACAACTGGGAATTCTGGATATTTTTTTACCATGTGCTCCTGCTTTGTTGTTGTTTTCTGCTTTTAATAAAGATAGCTAGTCAATCATGGCAGACTGATTTACTCTCTTTTTCTCTAGTCATTTATCCAGGTTTTTTTTCCACAGAGGCCACATACATGTTTGCATATATTAAAAAGCATGTATTTCCTTTCACAGAAGGAAATAATAGAAGCCACATAAATATTTGCATATATTGATTAAACATATGTATTTTAATTAAATTAAATACATGTATTTAATTAAAAAATTAAAAAGTGTGTATTTTAATACATGCAAACATTTGAATTTTAAGTTTAAAAATGGGCATTCAGTAGTGTGTGTGAAAACGGGCATTCAATAGCATGTGAAACTCCTGTGATACTAGTATTTGGTTTCCTGCTTCTTGAAAAGCTTTTAAAATCATTTCACACTTTTCATAAGAGGACATGCAAATGATTCTATTCAGTAAGAAACTAGCTAAAGTTTCCCAACAGAATAAGCATCTATCAGGATTCTGTTAACTCGTGTCCAAAAATGCAGTAAACCCTCCATTTAAATAGACAATTCAGAAGGCAGAAAAGGTATATCCATCATGAATGACTATTAAATCCCTGATGGATGTAAACTGTCTGTGCTGCAATTATTCACTATTTTGACTTGACCTCTAGAGAGAAAGTTTGTCTGTTATATTTGAAGTCTGCTAAACAATTTTTTTTTTAAATCAAGAATTTGGTATCTATAGAAAATATATTGCTATAGGAATTTCAATGAATTTGGCATCTTGTTAAGAATTGTTAAACCAATAGTAGAAATGCAGCTGTGTGGCAGAAGCAGCATCTGGATTGACTCAATCCAGTTTAATTATATAGACTGGAGTTATGAATACACATATGTGATTATTCTAAATAGAAAAAGAAATACATGCACACACACATACACACAATGAAAATTCCAATATATATCATCCCTAGGGAGTTGTATTAATATAGAACATCTAGGATTGCACATAAACAATAGTTTTCTTCCCATGACAATTTCTCATGACAGTTTTCTTCCAATTAAGACAGCCAGTCTGGGCAACCAAAGCAGTTTTAGTGCTTTATCTTGGTCTAAAATGAAAGTGAAATGGCCCTTGATCATTGGCTTCTTTTAAGTATATCTGTGCACATCCAACTACAGATGTCTTGGAAAAAATGACTAATCAAGATCTATTCCAATTTGGTTTCAGGCCTGAATAAAAGCCAGGTCCTCAAAATTCAAGGAGAGCGCTTTCTTTCCACATAATAGGTATAATTCTTTTCTTAACTCAGAAGCCAAAGGATTTAGATCTCGGCTGAATTGCAATATATGTGAAGGCTATTTTTTAAAATTATTGGAAAAACAATACAGCTACCTGGATTTTGAAAGTACAAGAGTATTGGACTACATTTCATTAAAGTTCAGACAATTTTATAGGGTGCCTGCCTGCTTCCAACGGCGGGGGGCGGGGCGAATTCAGCTGCAATGACTCAGATATTAAATCACCTCCTGGGAAGCTTTGAACCACACTTTCTATCAAGCAAAATAATGTGCATTCTTGGAAATGTTTATTTTTATTACAGTATCTATCTTGTCTTCCTGCCTGCATAAGTAATTCAGATTCTTGCCAATGCTTTCTTTTTTTTTATTTGCCAGCTCTTTTGCTGGTAGTCCTCAACATATAGCTGCAATTGAGCCAGAAATTATATAGGTTGTGGGAGTTGTTAAGCAAGTGACTATGTGATCATACTCACTTTATGATCTTTTTACTGGTGGTCATTAAGTAAATGCAATGGTTGTTAAACAAACCCATTTTTTTCAATGGGAAGGTTTTTTGCCAGAAACCAACAAAAACTGCTGAACATCGTGATTGTGTAATAGCAATAGCAACAGCACTTCCACTTATATACCACCCCATGGTACCATGGTGCAATATGGGCCAATTGTTAAGTACCACACATGACTAAGTGGGTGGGCACAGTGGTGAGATTAAAAAAAAATTAGTACCAGTTCTGTGGGCGTGGCTTGGTGGGCGTGGTTAGATGAGCATGGCCATGTGACTGGGTAGGCGTGGCTTCTTTTTCTCATCCACCCCCCACCCAATTTTTTAGGCCTTTTGGGCCTCAGGGAAGCCTCCTGGCGAGGTGTTTTTGCTCCCAAAAGGCTCCCCTGGGGCTCAGGAAGGCAAAAAAATGGAGGGGGGCTGTGCCCCTCCCTCCATTTTTTGCCTTCCTGGGCCTAAGCAAGGAGAATCCCAGCACAGTTGATCGTATAAAAAGATAATTGTTGGGAGGGGAAAAAAAGAAATACCTTAAGGGGCAAGAGTCAGGCGGACAGGGTGAGCAAGCATTGGGTGGGTGGGGCAAGCGAGACTGGGAGACTGGGCAACCAGGTCAGGGCATGGCCAGCCAGAACTTACTACTGGTTCGGTGACCCACGCCATGAATACCACCGCCTGAATACCACCAGTGGGTGGGCATCTTTGGAACTCCAGAACTGGATCATAAGTACCTTGAGGGAGGAGGGGGGTCCATCATAATGTCAAATGGGTGACTGGTTGTTAAGCAAGGACTACTTGCTTAGCTTTAAATAAACTATCTTTTAGTTTCATAAGACAATTTTGATTTAAAAGATGGATTAAAAGCAAAAGTGGAGGAGCTACTTGAATAATGTATAGGGTTGCTTTTTTTTCCTTTTTTTTTTTACTCACCTTTACTTAGAGTTGCTGATGCTATTTTTCCAGGTACAGCTAAGTTATCATTGACCTTGCCTAATGAAGATTTGTCTTCATTCACTGTAATCGGATTGCTTTCCTTGGATCTGCTGGTACCGCTTTCCACGCTTTCATTACAGTCTGTCAACCTGCAATCAATGTCTGAAGAGTCACCAGAGGCAGCTGGAGGTTGATTGTCCACTTCGTCTTGAGCAGAAGAGCTGTCAATTAAGTCCAGCCATGACTGTCTCTCTGAATACAATAGGTTGCACAGCGAGGAAGAAGAGGAGCCTGGAGATTTCATCATGCTGCTTTCTGGGGAAGATAAGAACTGTGGTACTTCATTTAGAAGGTGTGGTGTTGAGGAAAGCTCTTGTTGGGCCTGGTTTCCAGAACAAATAAAATAAATAAATAAAAGATAAAGGCTTGTATTATTGTTATTGCCTGGAACTTAGGACTACTCTCATTTCATACTTCTAATATTATTAATTAATAAGTAATTAATTAATTATTAATATTATTAATATTAGCCTGTGATCTCAACTGGGCTAACCACCCCTTGCAGCAATTCTGAAACAGAAAACAGATGCAAACTGCAATATTAATCCTGAGGTAGGCTTAACACATTTTCAAAAACAAAGAAAAATAATACCCCATCGCTAGAAAATGGACAAAAATATCCAGCCTCGTGTACATGTATGGTGTGACTCTAAGCACTTTGATCCAGGAAATATACTTATTTACTTTAATATGCCCCTTGTTAAGTTTGGGGCCTACTCAAGAATTGGTTGGCTATCATTCTTTACGCTGTAGTTCACCCGTCATTTTTACATAATATTTTTAGGTTTAGGGCCAGAGTTTCCATAGGAAGTGCTCTTCTCAAGGACAAGATGATTTTTTTATGGGTACAGGTAGTCCTTGATTTACAACAATTCCTTTAGTGACTGTTTGAACTTAGAACAGGATTGAAAAAAAGTGACTCCTAACCATTGTCCACGCGTATGATTGTTGCAACATCCCTGCAGTCATGTGATCAAAATTCAGCTGCTGTACAACTGGTTCATATTTATGACAGTTGCAGTGTCCTGGTGGGGATGACATGATCCCCACCTGTGACTTCTGACAAGCAAAGTCAAAGGGGAAGCCAGATTTACTTAATAACCATGTTACGGACTCAACAATTTCAGTGATTCACTTGACAAGAAAAATCGCAACATGGACAAAACCCTCTTAAGAAATGTTTCACTTAACGACAGAAATGTTGGGCTCAATTGTGGTTGTAAGTCGAGGACCACCTGTACATTTTTTTCCCATACAAAATCTATTCTGAAGGTTGGAGGATCTCTCAGAATCGCATAGGAAGGCTGCAACGAAAATGACAAAAACAGGGAACAATAGACAGGGACCCTCACTCTGTCAAGGACCTTGGAGTTCTCATCTCTGATGATCTAAATGCTACAGCCCACTGTAACAACATTAGGCATTAAGGCATTAAGGCATTAAGACTTGTCAACCTAATTCTGTGATGCTTTTTCTCCAGTAATATTGTACTACTGACTAGGGCATACAAAACATTTGCTAGACCAATTCTTGAATACAGCTCATTTGTCTGGAATGCACACTGCATGTCGGACATTAATACAATCGAGAGAGTCCAGAAATATTTCACGAGAAGAGTCCTCCATTCCTCTACTTGCAACAGAATACTCTATGCCTTCAGACTTGAAATTTTAGGCTTAGAAAACTTAGAACTATGACTCCTTCAGTTTGACCTAAGTATAGTACATAAAATTATCTAGTTCAATGTCCTACCTGTCAATGACTACTTCAGCTTCAACCGCAGCAATACACAAGCACACAATAGGTACAAACTCAGGGTAAACTGCACAAAACTTGATTGCAGGAAATACGTCTTCAGCAGAATGGTCAATGCCTGGAATACTCTACTAACTCTATGGTTTCTTCCCCAAACACTTTAACCTCAGACTGTCTACTGTTGACCTCACCCATTCCTAAAAGGTCTGTAAGGGGTGTGCATAAGCACACCAATGTGCCTACCCTCCCTGTCTTAATGTTCCCTTTTATTCATATCTATTTCATGTATTAATAATCATGTTTATACTTACATTTATTATCAAATGCATGCTTGACAAAATAAATAAATAAAATAAATAGCCTATTCCTCTGGTAAGGAGGTTTTCAGAATTACAGACCTTTTTCACCATAAAATAGGAAAATGTGTTTAATTAAATTTATTTTTTTTCCTACCATGGACTTGCATAGGCAATGTGCATGTATGTGTGTATGGGTGCATATCTCTGCATGTGGGTGCACCATGTAATTGAACTGAGTTGGAGGCACATTGCCTATGCAAGTCCATGGAAAGGATTACCTTATCTTACTAAAAACAGAAGAAAACTATTAGGAGAAAATATTGGCATGCGCGTGGCCCTCTGTTCTAATAACATAATTCCTTATTTGATATTTGCAAACTTGACAAGTCTAAAACCTGTATGAGCCAGGCATCTTTCCTTTCCCCCAGCAAAAGGCCATTAATTCTATGTAAAATACCTCACTGGTGAATATTTAGAAGTAATTGTTGGGGATAACAGCTAGAAACTGGGCTGTCTGAATTACATGGAACCATAATTCAGGATAAACACTGAGGCAGTTTAAATCATTTTAATCCTCAATGCTTTCATAGAGTCTGTCGCAGATACATTACGTTTATTTTTACAAATTTTACCCTACATAGTCCAGAAGATGCTATTTTGAAAGGCTTATTCTCTAAACCAAGAATGTGAAATTTATCTGACTGCGGTTCTTTTGATAAGTTCTTACTAATGCTGGCTAAAATATTCTTTCCCCGGAACCTCTTTGTTCTATCACATATCCCAGTATTTCTCAACTTCAGCAATTTTAACATACATGGGCCACAAGTCAGCATACTTGCTGCGGAATTCTGGGGCTTGAGGTCCAAACAACTTAAAATTGTTGAGGCTGAGAAACTCATTATAGATGCTGATAGGCTTCCAGAAGAAGCACAACCCAAATATTTTACTATATTCCAGAGGTCTCCAATCTTGGCAACTTTAAGATTTGTGGACTTCAACACCCGAAGTCTACAAGTCTTAAAGTTGCTAAGTTTGGGGACCCCTGCTGTATTCCCTTGGTAGCTGGAGAATAGTA